AAAAGAAAAAAGCCGGAAGTGGTGCTGTGGCTCAAGTGGTAGAGCACTAGCCTTGAGCTGAAGAGCTGAGGGACAGTGCCCAGGCCCAGAGTTCAGTCCCTATGACCGGATCCAAAAAAAAAAAAATGCAATGTATACACGAACTGCTTTGAATCTGGCAGCTCCTTTATACAATTACTTCGAGATAATAAAACAGAATAGAGAAGATAGAAAAAATAAATCCAGAATCATTTGGAATACAATCAGGGTAACTGGAATTATAAGAACAATTCAATGTTCATCAACAAATAGTCTACATGCAATGAACATTATAAAACTAGGAGGATAAGTAAAAAAAACTATTATTATTTAATGTATTTTCACAAACTTAAACTAGGTTCTGAGGAGAAAATTAGTAGAGAGGTGCAATGGAGGCACGATGATTTTAGAAGACTTATATTTAATATTAAGATGTGTTTTTTCTCCAAGACTGTTTTGTCCTGTATACCATGCAGAGAATTTCTATCTGGCCTCAAGAACATGATGTTGCAGCCTAACAGTCTAGCACTGGGCACTGGAAGGCAAGATAGAGAAGACCTCCACGGCCACCATGGTTTTCCCCTTGGTACTGTGGTAGACAGGCAGGAAGGTGACACACACACTACAGAACACCAACATACTGAAGGTCAGGAACTTGGCCTCATTGAAGGTGTCAGGCAGTTTCCTGGCCAAGATAGCCACAGTGAAGCTTGCCAGGGCCAGGGAGCCCAGGTATCCCAGGACACAATAGAAGGCAGTGGCTGAGCCTTTGTTGCACAGGATGATAATGTGGCCATGTTCTGAGTGTGCATCGGTGTCAACAAATGGAGGAGAAGTGCCCAACCAGATTCCAGACAGAATGAGCTGGATCAGCGTGCAGATGGGAATGATGAAGTTAGGCATTCCTGACACCAGCAACCACCGCATCCTTCTCCCTGAAGAAGTGACAGAGAAGGCTAGAACCACAGGAACAGTTTTGGCCAAGACAGTGGAAACAGCCACAGTGAACACAACTCCAAATGTGGTCTGCTGGAGGACACACGTGGCTGTGTTGGGATGTCCAATGAAGAGCAAGGAGCAAAGAAAGCAGCAGTTGAGGGAGATGAGCAAGATGTAGCTGAGAGCCCTGTTGTTGGCCTTGACAATGGGAGTGTTGTTGTGCTTTGTAAAAATCCCAATAACAGCAGTGGTTAGTGCAGAGAGGCAGAGAGCTAAGCAGACTAGAGTCATCCCCAGAGGGTCCCTAGAGTCCAGGAAGCTCTCAGATTTCAGCAGGCAGAGGTTTTTCTCTGTGTTGGCATACTAATGATCTGGGAATCTCACACACTGCTCCATGTCTGACAAGGAGTAGGAATTATCATCAGTAAGGCAGGAGTTACCTTGCTTCACTGTCCTTCCCCTAAAGAGATTAATTTTTTTAGCTTAATCCATTGTTCTAGGTTGTTGCTTTCTAAATCAGAGATACAAATTCTATGAAGCATACAATTCAGTGTGAGTCCTGATCATTTTATCTTCATATGTTTTCTTACTTTTTAGTATTTTCATGAAAGAATTTTCCATTATGAAAATATGGACAGTTAAATGTACTTCACCTAATTAACACATTACATGTAATCATTTGTGCATGTCCTTCAGAAACCAGATACTTCATGACAAATGGGCACATTTTATTTGGGGCATAAATATGTAAATTCCAGAGAAACAGAAATAATCAATCATTCTTATTATCTTCCCTATATTTGCCCACCTCAATCACACATTGAACTTTTGAAAACAAACACGGTCAGGAGTCACACTTTGCCCATAAAAACAAACACAATTTGAAAGTGAAAGGCTGGAACAATTTCTACCAGGCAAATGGCCCCCATAAACAGGCAGGAGTTGCAATCCTAATATCATATAAAATAGACTTCAAATTAAAATTAGTGAGAAGAGATAAAGGAGGTCGCTAAATACTAATTAAGGGATCTCTCCTTCAGGAGATTATTACAATTCTAAATATCCATTTGCCAAACAACAGAGCACCCAAATTTATCCAAGTAACACTACTTTCCCTCAAATCTCACATAAATCTAAAAACATTAATTGTTGGGGACTTTAACACACCACTATCCCCACTAGATAGATCAAATCGGCAAAACTCAACAGAGAAACCACAGATCTAAACAGTTCTATAGATCAACTAGATTTAACAGACATTTACTGAATATTTCACCCACCAGCAACAGAATACACGTTTTTCTCAGCAGCACATGGAACATTTTCCAAAACAGACCACATTTTAGGCCACAAAGCAAACTTGTCCAAATTCAGAAACTTTGAAGTTATACCTTGTATTCTCTCAGACCACAAGGGAATAAAAGTAGAACTCAACACCAAAAGCCACCAAAGAATGTCCTGAAACACATGCAGGTTGACTCACCAGTAGGTCATGGAAGAGATTAGAAAGGAAATTCAAATATTCATGATATTCAACAAAAATGCACACACAAATTACCAGCTCCTCTGGGACACAGCAAAGGCAGTACTCAGGGGTAACTTCATAGCTCTGAGTTCTTACATCAACAAATTGGAGAGATCTGAAACCAACAGGTTTCTCCAATTTGTTAATGTAGGAACTCAATTTAAAGAGACATCTGAACCTCCTTGAAGAAGAGCAGCATGATAAACCCAATCCAGTAGACAGAAAGAAATAATTAAAATTAAATCAGAATTAAACGAATTAGAATAAAAAAAAACCATAGAAAGAATCAACAAAAGAAAGAGTTGGTTCCTCGAAAAAATTAACAAAATTGACAGACACTTAGGAAATCTTATCAGAAAAAGAAGAGAACACACCCAAATAAATAAATTCAGAGATGAGAATGGAAACATCACCACAGAATCAACCAAGATTCAGTACATTATAAGGGAATATTTCTCAAACGTTTATGTTATTAAGTTTGAGAACTTGGCAGAAGTGGACCTTTTCCTAGCAAATATAGACATTGCAAAACTAAGTCAAGGCAAGTTAAATCATCATTACAGGATATCAAGCACTGAAATAGAAACAGCAATAGGAGACCTCCCAACTAAGAAAAGCCCAGGACAAGACAGTTTTACAGCGGAATTCTACAAGGCCTTCAAAGCAGAGCTCACACCAATACTACTCAAACTCTTCAATGAAATTGAACGAGAAAGTTCACTACCAAACTCATTCTATGAAACCATCATAACCCTCATCCCCAAACCAGGCAGGGACTCATCAAAGAAAGAGAACTAGAGACCCATTTCTTTGATGAACATTGATGTACAACTTCTCAACAAAATTTTGGCCAATTGACTTCAACAATTGATCCAAAAAATCATACACCAAGATCAATCAGGATTTCATGGATGCAAAGTTGGTTTAATATACGCAAATCAATTAATATAATTCATCACATCAACAAGAGCAAGGATAAGAACCACATGGTTATCTCAAAAGATGCAGAAAAGGCATTTGACAAGATCCAACACCCCTTTATGATGAAGGTTCTGGAAAAACTAAGAATCCAAGGTCAGATAATGTTAGGTGAAATGAACCCGACATAAGTACTCGAATGTGTTTTCTTTCATGCAATTGTTTCTAACATATTTATAAGATGGTTTCTTTGTTGCTTTGTATGTCCATCCCCCACTGTATATCCTCTGCTTTCATTGTATTTGATGTTGGTATAATTTGTGGAGGGGAAGGGCAAAAACAAACCGTTTAAATAGGGATACAGGTGGACCCATTGCAACAATGAGATGTATAAGTGGTTATGTCGAAAAACGAGTTTTACAACTTTGGTGGGGGGTGGGGGGATGGGGGGGTTGGGGAGATAGGAAAGGATGGGAAGGGGAAACAAAGGAGAAGGCAACAAAGGCTTGACAGGAAATGTACTCATTACCTTGCTCATGTAAGTGTAACCCCTCTGTATCGTATTTTCACCATTAAAAAAAGAAGCAAGCATGGTGTAATTTGATGGATATTTCATTGACTCACTAACCAATTTTGGTAACAGTGACATTTTAAATTATGAGTCTTCTCATCCAATATAGAGTTCCTATTTACTCTTTTATCTACTCTCTTTTAATTTTTACCTCATTTTCTACAATATTTAAAGTCTATCACAACAATACTATTATCTTAATATTTTATAGTTTATCAGGTACTAAATAACATTTCTAAAAAATACGCTTAATGACTGATGATATTGAAGTAGAAATAAATCATTTCTGAACCTTACAGTTTTCATTCTCTAGAAATTGAAATGTATATTCAAATATGTCTAGAATGTTCTAATAACAAAAATTATTAGTATATACCTTTCTTTCTAATTAATGTGCTCTTTCAAGTTGCTTAATCCAAAATACCACATTTTCCAGCATTGTAGAATAGAGTTTAGTTAAAGCGGCCCTCTTCAGTTTAACTTTTATAACATGTAAATTCCTATGTAATAGAAGAAAGGCTCTTGTCTTTGTATGTTATCTATTGTGGATTGTTCCTAAAGCCTACTATTGATTGAGAAACCCTAAGGAGATGTGGAGAATGTATCCAATACTTACACATTTACCTGTCCTGTTAGAAATCTCATTCTCAGGGCAAGGGATACAATCAAAGCAACAGGCTAACTTTCCCTCCTGAGGGGATTTTCTGAATCAAGGACCACAGTTCTCACTGCAGACAGACTTTGGAGTCTAAAAAAAAAGGAGATTTGTGTTGATGACACAAAGGTTAGTTATATTCAAAACACTCAAATTTCAGTATTGATTCAGAATCAAAATTTCTGTATACATGGATGTAGAATATATGTATATATATTTATCTGGATGATATTATTCTAGGTATTATAACATACTCAGAGAAAAGTGTTTTAAATCATTGTTCTGCCCTTCTTAATGGAAAAAGTAGGAACTGTTAAGTAACCATTCTCTAAAGATGGGAAATCATCTAAAATAACAAACAACTGGCCAATTGACTGTTGATTGAAACATAGAACATGAATAAAATTAAACATTCTACATTATAAATTGACTTTAAAAGTTATTATGTTATAGTGATACATAGCTTTGCAATGTAGATGATATTTATATTTGGGAAACATAAAAAATATTAAGAAACAATTGGCAAATAAATGTGCTCCATATGAACTCATTAATCAATTACTTCATAAAAAATGTTTTAACTGGGGTGGGCGGCTATGGCTTATTCCTGTAATCCTAGCTAATCAGGAAGCAGAGATATGAGGATTATGGCTCAGAGCCAGACCGAGTAAGAAAGTCTGTGAGATTCTTATCTCCAATAAATCACAAGAAAACCGGAAGTGCAAGTGGCTCAAATGGTAGAGTGATAGCCTTGAGCTGAAGAGCTGAGAGACAGCGTCCAGGCCCAGATTTCCAACCCCATGACCAAAAAAAAAAATGTTCTAAATAGGAAGTTGATTGCTTACTTTACTGCCTTATTAATGAAGACAAGAGGAATAAATTCTAGCAAGATATATGTTCATTTATTCCTATTTCAGATCACCATTGTTTGATTCCATGAACCTCTGTAAATGCCATGGGCCATTCTATCATATCTTTGGATAGAGATAATTGATGACCATGTGGTGCATATGGAGAAAAGTTTCCCACTTTCACCACTTGCCCAAGACCTTCTGGAAAATTGCAAAGGTTCAAAATGTCATACTCTGCCACCAATTTCTTTGTCTCATCCAAAATCACTTGGTCACCAGCAGGATTGTTGAAATGGATGTTCTTCAGAAAGGGATGGAGCTAGAAGCTATACATCAACCAAGGTGAAGTTAGTCAAATGTTCACACAGAAAACTGGAAGAAATCTGTTTAAGAATCCATCTATAACAGAATAATGTAGCAGAACAACTGAAAGTCTATGGAGAACTAATATAAAATAATGCTGATAATTCCTAAGACTCAAGTAACTAGGATAACACTTCAAGATTAAAAATGAACTAGGTTCACTGAAATAATCACAAATCTTACACATGCCACTGCCTGGCTACACAGGCAGAGAGATTGCTTTTATGAGTAACTCCACTCTGTAAATCAGTTAAATGGTTATTTAAAAAAACTACCTGATTTAGAATTAAATTATTTCACTTATGAAATATGAACAATTTGCATAAAATATTGAGGTGAACAAATTTTTCATTACTGCTGGCCTGTTCAAACAGAAAATCACTAAGTGCAAAATTGAAAGCTTGAGCACTGAGGGATTACAGATAGCTGGAATGAAAAGAATAAATACAGAATTAATTAAAATTTATTCTTGCCACTGTTTTTTTTCAAGTAAAATTCTACATGGTTTAAAAACTATTTAAAAACAAACTGGGTGATGGTAGCTCACAACTGTAATCCAAAATACATAGGAGGCAGAGATCGGAGGATCACAGTTTGAAGCCAGCCTGGACATGAACAATCATGAGACATCACCAATTACCTACTGAAAAAAATCAAGAAGTAGAGTTTTTGTTTAAATGGTTCACAACTCACTTTGAGGAAAAGGAGTTCCAGTCTAAGGGCTGGCATGAAAAAATAAAAAACAAAAATCATTACAGACAGTTAACCTTACTACAACTTCTCACTTTGTCTTTTGAAAAATCTGTCTTTACTACCTAGATTGATTTGAACAAATCCCTCTTATGTCAGTTTGCAGATAGCATTTACTATATATATATATATATATATAGTAAATGTTTTTCAACATGTCCATGTCAAAAAGGTACCTAGGCAACCATTCCAAAGACGCATTGGCTGGACAGTTCTTCCAAGTGACACAACTAGACTCAGAAAATGTGCAATTAAAAAAGCGAATCCACACCAAAGCAAGGAAATAGTCTTTTGGGTATTTGGATGGGTTAGCAGTTTTGATAAAATTGTTGAAACCAGAAATCTCCCTATCGTGGTGTGAGAAAATGAGAAGTGCACGGAGTGAGTGTAACAAAAAATAGTTCATCACAGACAGAAATGTACTAAGGGAGTTTATGACCCAGACTTTTCCTGGACTTAAACATCTTGTTAAAAAAGTATTTAACAAAATTGAACACGAATTCATTGTCTATCATGGTCTATAACATTTATGAGTTCTATGAGCTTTGCAATACAGTTATTTCTTCCATATTGGGTGATATGTACATTTCTTTTGTTTTGCATTGCATCAGTTGTTCCCTCTTTCCCACTTGTTCCTTCCCTTCCATTTCTGCCATTGAGTTGCTTAGTTCATTTTGGTCAATGTCCAGTGCAGTTGATGGGTCCTGCTGTGGTGTGTTTTTCCCTGATTCCCTCTAGTTCTGTGTCGTCCTCCTGGTTTCCTTCCCATGTGTACATATATTCCATATCTGTGATCAGCAGTATGGGATTATTTAGTAGTGATTCGACCAGATGAGTGGAAGTCCTTTGTTTCTTAAGTCTTGTTAATTTTGTTGTATCACCTTACATTTTGGATTTAACATCGACTTATCGGGGAGACCATGTGCCATTTGTCTCTTTGCGTTTGGTTTACCTTGCTCAACATGATTTTACTAGCTCCATCCATTTCCCTGCAAATGCCTTTATTTTGTCCTTTCTAATGGCTGCATAATATTCCATTGTGTATAGAAACCACAATTTTTGGATCCATTCATCTGTGGTCAGACATCTGGATTGTTTCCATTTCCTGGCTATTGTGAACAGGGTTGCAATAAACATGGAGGTGCATGTGTCCTTGTATACTGGTTCCTGTTGTTCAGGATAGATGTTTAGTAGTGGTATGACTGGGTCATACGGGAGGCCAATATTTAGCTTTCTGAAACCCCAGACTGCTTTCCAAAGTAGTTGTATAAATGTACATTCCCACCAGCAGTGTAATAGGGTTCTTCTTGCTCCGCATCCCTCCAGCATTTGTCATTGGCTGACTTGAGGATGTGGGCTATTCTGACTGGGGTAAGGTGGTAGCTCAGGGTTGTCTTTATTTGTATTTCCTTCACAACAAGGCATAGTGAACATTTCCTCATGTGTTTCTTTGCCATTTTTATCTCTTCTTCTGAGAAGTCTGTCTTTAGTTCCCTTGCCCATTTAGTAATTGGTTTGTTAGGTTTGGGTGGGATTAGTTTCTTGAGTTCCCTGTATATACTGGATATATTGTTGGCAAATGTTTTTTCCCAGTTAGTTGGTTGTCTTTCTATCTTGGTTGCTATGTCTTTAGCTGTGCAGACTCTTTTTATTTCAAGGTAGTCCCATTTGTCAGGCCTCTCTCCAATTTGTTGTGACCCTGGGACTCTGTTCAGGAAGTTCCTGCCTGTGCCTATAAGTTCAAGTGTCTCTCCTACTCTGTCCTGCAGTAGTTTTAGAGATTCAGGTTTGATGTTAAGGTCTTTAATCCATTTTGAGTTAATGTTGGTGCATGGTGATAGGGAGGGGCCAACTTTTAGTCTTCTGAACTTGGCCTCCAAGTTTTCCCAGCAGCAGTAGTTGAAGTGCCTGTGTTTCTTCCACTGTATGTCTTTGGCTCCTTTGTCAAATATCAGCTGACTCTAGGCATGTGGTTTTATTTCTGGATCTTCTCTTCTATTCCATTGGTCTTCTCATCTGTTTTTGTGCCAGGACCATGCTGTCTTTGTTATTATGGCTCTATAGTAGAGTTTGAAGTCTGGCATCGAGATCCCTCCCATGTTGTCTTTTTTGCCTAGAATTGTTTTGGCTATTCTACGTCTTTTGTTGTTCCATATGAATTTTTGGACTGTGTTCTGTATTTCAGAGATGTATGTCATTAGAATTTTAATAGGAATTGCACTGAATTTATATATTAATGTTGGCAGTGTTGTCATTTTCACTATATTAAGTCTGCCTATTCAAGAACATGAAGGTCTTTCCATATCCTAGTGTCTTCTGAAATTTCTTTATTTAAGTTTTTATACTTTTCGTTAAATAGTTCTTTTCCATCATTGGTTACGTTAATTCCTAAATATTTTATTTGGGGTGGGTTATTGTGAATTGGGTTGCTTCCTTTATTTCAATCTCTGCTTGTACGTTGTCAGTGTACAGGAAAGCAACTGATTTTTGTGGGTTGATTTTATATCCTGCTACTTTGCTGAAGTGATTTATAATTTCTAAGAGTTTGGGGATGGAGTTTGGTGATCATGACGATATAGTATCATGTCATCTGCAAAAGCGATAGTTTTACTTCTTTCCCTATGCGATTCCCTTTAATGTCTTTTTCTTGCCTTATTGCCCTGACTAAGGGTTACAGGACTATATTGAAGAATAGTGGAGACAGTGGGTATCCTTGCCTTGTTCCTGATTTTAGGGGAATTGGTTGTAGCTTTTCCCCATTAATTATAATATTGGCTATTGGTCTGTTGTGTATGGCTTTTATTGTTTTAAGGAATGTTCCTTCTATTCCTATTTCTCCAGAGTTTTTAACAAGAATGAATGTTGTATTTTATCAAAAGCCTTTTCTGCACCTGTGGAGATAATCATGTCATTTTTGACCTTGGCTCTGTTGATGTGTTGAATTAGTTTACTGACTTATGTATGTTAAACCATCCCTGCATCTCTGGGATGAAGCCTACCTAGTCATAGTGTATGCTTTTTTTAATGTGTTTCTGGATTCTGTTAGCCAGAATTATGTTAAGGATCTTTGCATCTGTGTTCATCAAGGAGATTGGTCTGTAGTTCTCTTTTTTTGTTGGGTATTTGCCTGGTTTGGGGATGAGTGTGATATTGGCATTGAAGAATGAGTTTGGGATGGCTCTCTCCTTCTCTGCTTTTCTGAAGAGCTTGAGAAGTATGGGTATTAATTCTTCTTTAAAGGTCTTATAGAATTCTGTTGTGAATCCATCTGGTCCTGGGCTTTCCTTGTTGGAAGACTTCTGATTGCTTCTTGTATCTCATTGTGAGATATTGGCTGATTTAATGGATTTACTTCTTCTTTGCTCAGTTTGGGCAACTGTATTTCTCTAAAATGCATCCATTTCTGGTAGGTGTCCTTTCTTTAGAGAGTATAACTTTTGCAAATAGTCCTTTATAAGTGTTTGGATATCTTGGATACTTGTTGTGATTTTTCCCGTGGCATCCCTGATCTTGTTAATTTGGGTTTCCTGTCTTCTTCTCGAAATTAATCTTGCCAAATTCTTACAATTTTATTTATTTTTTTCAAAGAACCAGCTTTTTGTCTTATTAATTTTATTTATAATTTTCCTATTCTCTCTCATTAATATTTGCTCTTAATTTGATTACCTGACTCTGTCTAGCAACTTTAGGTTCCATTTTTATCATGTTTTTCTAGCTGTTTTAATTGCAACATGAAATTATTTACTTGGTCTGTCTCTATTTTCTTGATGTGGGCACTAAGGGCAGTAAATTTGCCCCTCAGGACTCATTTGCTGTGTCCCACAAGTTTCTTTGTCATGTTTCTTCATTTTCATTGAATTGTAGGAACTTTTCAATTTCTTCTGTTACACAGCTATTGCTTAGAAGTATGCTGTTCAATTTCCATGTATTTGAGTAATTTCTGTGGTATGCTTTGCTATTCAGAACTAGCTTGATTCCACTCTGGTTGGATAGGATACAGGGTATTATGTCAATCCCCTTGTATTTGCTTAAGTTCCTTGCATGAATTATGATATTGTCTATTTTGGTTAAAGTTCCATGAGCTGCTGAGAAGAATGTGTACTGTGTTGTTTTAGGGTGAAATACTCGGTAGCTATCAGTAAATTCCCCTTGAAGTACGGATTCACTTAATTCGGTAGCTTCTTTGATAATCCTCTGGTTGGTAGA